AAGTAGAAAGCTGATCGATAGCCGAGCTATAATTAGCTCCCAATTCAACGGCCAACCCCATGTGCCTCTTGCCATTCCACCATCTTTATTTTATTTGATTTCTTCTAATATTCTTTTCTGTTAACTCAACTTAGCTCCTTTGACTTGTTATTGTATAATATGGAGTATAAGTAATGATATACTTCTCATTTACTTTATAGTTTATAGTAAACTTTATAAGTTTTAATTTTTGGAAAAAATATATTGTTACAATTACGGATTATATGTAAAAAAAAAAAAAGAAATGTTTCACATGTGAACTAACATACACAAATTTTCCATCAAAGGTCGATACTACATAGCTAAATATGCGACTTAAATGTAATCTTTTTTTACTTAAAACACATATGATTACAACCTAGTCAAGAATGCGAAATATTTATTGCTCATAAAACTGGTTTGTTCAAAACTATATGCATTTAGATGATATTTACATCAACATTCTTAATGTATTTCTAGAATATTGATTAAGGATGAACCACATAATCACATATTTTCCATACAATAATTGAGTGACATGGAATATAACTATTCCGACAATTTTTAAAATATACGTAGTATACGATATGTAAAATTTCATTAATTATTTACAAAACTCTCACAACAATTTTGCATATAACACTTTTTTACAAAAAAAAACAATATGATTTTAATATTGGGCAACCACTCTCACGCCTTGCGCGAGTAATCGCTAGTTATATATATATGGAGTAATTACAGTGCCGGTCCTATCTAAACTCAGGCCTGAGTCGAGCTTCATAAAATGGGCCCCATACATAGTGTTAGTTTATCATATAAATTCATTAAAATTGAATGATTAAATATCACAAAAACACAAAAACGCAATCTTTCAATAAAAGTCTTCCATTATCACAAAACGACATTGAATGTATTAAAAAATTACTTAAGTAAAACCTGTCAAACAGTTTTAGATACATAATTGAGTGGAATCCTCAACAATATATACTATTAATTTTCTTTACAAATCAGCTCTCGAATTAACTTATAAGGTGCAAATCACCCCTTATATAAGAGGTTTTTTCTGACCGTCGCCATTTGGGGTGGTTGCCAGTGGAATTTTTTGATGAATTTTTTTAGCATCTTCTTCATTAAGTCTAGTTTATCCATACCGAATCTCAACTAAAAAATCAACCAATAAGGCAATCAAATGATTTTCTGAAATATATTGGGTTGTTTTACTGCGCAGTTATCTTCAAAAATTCATTTGACTGCCTTCCCGATTGAATTTTTTACTGAAATTTGGTATGCGCAAATTAGACTTAATGAAGAAGATGTTCAAAAAAATTCATCAAAAAATACCTCCGGAAACCCTCCAAATGGCGATGGCCTTGGAAAATACATAGGTATAATAATAGCAATGTTTAAATAATTATGGGCCCCTAATTTTTTCAATTTTTTGGGGCCCTGAGGCTTGGGCCTCTCCAGCCTAACATAAGGCACGGGCCTGAGTAATTAAAATGGGTTAAAGAACATTAATAATATCACTCTAATAACTTGTAATTACAACCACAATATATAATGCAATTATGCAACTACAGGAATTCGACCTAGAGAGGGTAAAGATTACTCACTTGAGGAGATAAAAGCAGCTATTAAGGAAGGAGTGGGATTTGATCCATTCATAGATTGCAATGTTGATTCATCAGGAAATCACCAATTATACCAAGTTTATCTTTGTGTAGACACTTCTGCACAAGATTTCATCGACTGTCCAGTTTTCCCTCATGGAGGAAAATGTGGTTCCAAAATTGAATTCCCTTCCTTTTCATCATCCAAATCTTCCCATGATGAATTTTAATTTGTACACATATTTATGTAATGCCATTGCTCTTTTTTCCTAATGGATTATATATAGCAATGGCTTGATGCTTCCTGTAATTAGTCTTTACTTAATGAATAAATTGTCTCTAAGTATAGTACATATATGTATTCCTACTACGGTAATAAAAGTCATAATTGACACGTACTTGTGCTTGCATTATATTCCAATTAAAATAGAAATAATTACAGACAAAGTATGACTAAGATTTTAGTTTATTCACAAAATGTGACCTCCTAAATACAATGACTATAATAATAACTTTATTTATAATAACTTATGTTCAATTTTACGGAGTAATATTCAAGTGACTATGAGGCTATGCTATAGTAGTTAATAGTCATATTTTTTTTATATCATAAATAGTCATATTTTTGTAAATATATTTCATTTTAGTAATATTTTTAAAAAACACTCTTAAAATAATTCACATTTTGGTCAAGAGTCATGTTGCCTTTGTGGTGATGCTAACTTGATTGTATGTATTTGCGGCTTTCCGCGAAATGCTAGTTATTATTTAAAAATTTGAAATCAGATTCGACAAATCTATGGTACTCTCAATGTAAGGTACCTTATCTATGCGGATCAACTAAAATACTCCTTCCGGTTTTTATTAATCTTCACACTTTCCTTTTTGGGACGATCTAAATTAAACTTCATACTTCCAAATTAGGAAAGTTTCTAATATGAAATACCCTTTATATCCCTATCCCATTTACCCATTTGTTCGGCCCATACCCCTGCCACTTTTATTCGCAGCTCCATTTACTCTCTCAAATCTTCTCTCTTTAATCACCTCTCTCTGTCTTAAACCCTTCCACCACCTCATAACCTTGATCGCCACCCCTCCTCCTCACTTCCATCGCCACCCCCCCCATCTCCTCACTTCCACTGCCTCGTTATCTCTTCTTGATTTGTGATTTTAAAACATAATAATGAACGCAAAACAATGTCATTTTAAACATGCAATTTTCCTTATCGGAGTAAGTTTTTAAAGCACACCATCGGGTAGATGAGAGAGATTTTAGTTTTTATTCTCTTAGGCTATAAGTTTCTCAAAATTTCACCTTCACAAATATATTTATGGTAGATATAAACCTAAACAGATATACAATCTTAAAATCCTCTTTTGTTGTTTTAGATTTCACATTTTTACAAGATTTTTTTGGACGTTTTCATATTAAAAAAAATCCAAATGCACGACTGCTCATACTCATGGGGGCCGGTCACCAAAACTTTAATTGTTAATTCACTTTCTATACATGTTCATTTTTTGGGTGGATATCTTTGAATACACGTTTGAATATAAGAAAAACAAAAACAATAAATCTATTGGCAGTTCGTATCATATATACTTACAGAATCAAGAATATTGACGTCAGATTAAGAGTGTTGATATGAGAAGCTAGCCATCTTCATTAGTAATTTGGTAATTTATTATCCCGTGCAACGCACGGGTAAAAGACTAATTAGATTTAACTTGGTAAAGTGTACGGGACGGAGGTTGTATCAAATTTTCAATTACACATGTTCTACGTAGCATATCAATATTAAAAGAAGAGTAAAATGCATAACTAGTCCCTAAACTATCAGTCTCATATCATTTTGGTCCTCGAACTAACAAATCTATCATTTCAGTCCCTAATCTATGTAATCCATATTAGTTCGGTCCTTCTATCTATATTTTGACATTAAACTAACGGAATGTACTTAGTTAGTGCATGTATGTGTAAATCAAAATGCTTATAAGACAAAATATAACTTATAAAAATATGATTTAATATCTAAATAAATTAAATTAGAATGAAAACTACTATCAAATCATAATATAACGCGTTAAGACATACTATCGTAATATACTATATTCGTTCTCTTTTAAATGCAACATTGGACTTTTTGCACTATTCATATGTTTTACTTTGATTCTATTTTATTGGGAAAAAAGTGCAAATAGGCCCATGTACTAACAAAAAAAGATCAAATAAGCCCTTATTTAGGAGGCTCTGTCCGGCCGTCGCCATTTGGAGTGGTTCCCGGCGGAATTTTTTGATGAAATTTTTTGAGCATCTTATTCATCAAGTCTAGTGTACTCATACCAAATTTAAGCTAAAACTTCAATCGGGAAGACATTCGAATGAATTCTTGAATATAACTGCGCAGTTAGAAACGCAGTTATCTTCAAGAATTCATTTGAATGCCTTCCCGATTGAATTTTTAGCTGAAATATGGTATGAGTAAACTAGACTTGATGAATAAGATGCTCAAAAAAATTCATCAAAAAATTCCACTGGGAACCACCTGAAATGATGACGGCCAGACATACACTTCTAAATAAGGGCTTATTTGACCTTTTTGGTTAATACATGTGCATATTTGCACCTTTTCCCCATTTTATTTAATACAGAGTAATGTATTATAAAATAAATTAAAAAAAAGTGTTAAATTCCTCTCATTTTCATATTTCAAAATCTATTTTTATAATTTTTTTACTAATATTTGTATAGTTCTCAAAATTTGTCAACACACAAGTTTCACGTTTGCCAACACACAATTTTGACCATTAATATCTTTAATTCCTTCTTAACAAAAAATTAAAGAAAAATTGGAAAATTTAAAATGAGAGGAATTTAACATTTTTATAAATTTAATTTATAATACATTACTCCGTATTAAATAAAATAGAGTCAAAGTAGAACATGTGAATAATGCAATAAGTCCAATGTTGCATTTAAAAGAGAACGAAAGTATTATTATATTATGTTATAACTTTATACAACGCGTTGTATCATGATTTGATAGTAGTTTTCATTCTAATTTATTTAGATATTAAATCAGAATTTTATAAGTTATGTTTTGTCTTATAAGTTTGTTGATTTACATGCACTAACTAAGCACATTCCGTTAGTTTAACGTCAAAATATGGAGAGAAGGACTGAATTAATATGAATTACATAGATTAGGAACTAAAATGATAGATTTGTTAGTTCAGGGACTAAAATTTTGATGCCGATAGTTTAGGGACTAGTTATGCATTTTACTCTTAAAAGAAATTTAAATTTTGATGTAGACCAAACCCGGTTCAAAATTCAGGATCCCTACCTCCGCCGCTGTTAAGAAGTATCCTGAGTTCCCTTTGAGTTAAAATTACCAAATTCTAGCTTGATGACGAGCTTGGTTACCGAGAATCTATTATCTTCCCTATCATTCTTCCCGTTCATGTATAACTCTGAAGCTATTATACTTAGGAGTTTTCTTCTCTACTTGCAGAGTTGCAGTAGTTAGCTAAACTTGCAGACATTAATCCCTAAGTGCATGGCATAGAAGCGTCGTTCCAGGCTCCATTGCGACGAAGACGGCCCCCGACCCTCTACCATCGTTCCTATTTCCTACCTCATCAGTGGTGTATCCTCCCCCGCCAAGCGTTGCTCCCCAACCGCCAGTCTGTCGCCTCTCTTCCCCTCTATTCAGGTAAATATGCTCTTTTAAACTATGTAGTATCTACTACTCGTAATTGATATTAAAAAATTGTTTACTCTGGGTTCGTTTATATATTTATACTACTTCTGGATTCTGGGATAGTCTTCAAAATCTTTCACCAAAGTTTTGAGTTTGGTAATGCTTATAATATGTTTGTAAAAATGTCTGGATTTGTTATTGTAAATCAATAAACCATAGTATTGAGTTGCCTCTCTGCGCATAGCTGCGTTTCGGTTGTCCTGTCCTTGTTACGGAGTATTATTTTATGGTTTTATTGTTGTTCCAAATTTCCCACCACTTAACAAACTTAGCTATTTGTGTGCGGGTTATTTTTTATGGTTTTCTTACTAGACTAGAAGTATGTTTCGGACCAAAGATGACCCAAAAATACTATTTCCTAATTAATGCACATCTTGTGCGCTGCTTATAGTTATATGGTTCTTTTAGTTCCTTTTTCTCCCTGTAGAACAAATTACATCAGTGCCTCAAGTTTTCATTTGCTTTGCCTTGTTTCTCATTAAATATTTCCTATGATGTATTCCACTCTCCTATATCTAAAAAAAGTCACATTTAATCTGTTTCCCCTGGAATATAATTAATTGTTTTCATATGAATGCCAAAGGTAATTCTCTAATTTATTAGTATCATTAGAAATCTCGGTTCCCGGCATTTCCAATCCAAATTCTGTGGGGAAAGTGCATTTTACGCGTAGACAACTTCCAGTGTGTGGAAGAATGTGAATTTTACTTGTAGACAACTTTAAGTGTGTTTTCTTCTCTATCAATTTCTATATTATTTTCAGTAATTTGATTTTGATGCCTTACCTTCATAACCAATGAAAAACTAATCAAGTGTCTATTGAAATTCGTAACTTTTTTAATTCAAGATAATATTTTCTATAAGACATGATGAAATTAAGAGAAAAAGAATTACGTAGAGGTAAAATTTAGCTCGCTATATAAAATTAAAAATATAAAGAAAAAGTAAAACAATCAATCAATATGCTTGAAAACAATCAATAGTTGAGGGTTTTTTAGTTTTGTGGGATTAGACACATGTCTCACTTGACTCATAATCTTTGTTAGTACTATACAATTAGTGAACATACAAAAATACATGTGTTTGCGACTTTGTGTATTATACGTTTGGATTTTGTAAAAGAAAGATAAGTATATGTTTTAACTCTTAAACATTAGGAAATGGGTACGTACACAATTTAAACTTTCCCTATTTTCAAAATTATGATATAAAGTATGTATATATTACTCACAAACAATAATGATAAATTTGGCATTTGAGGCTTCTTTAACAATCTAAGATGTAGAACTTCAATTCATAATCATAAATCATAACTCACTCTAAGAAAAATAGGTCAATTAATAGAGTATGTCTAAACTCTGAAGTTTCATTTTTTTTGTTAAGAGTATCATTAGATTTGGAATTTTGACCTTAAATCTAAAAGTTTATTAAGGATAAAGTTTATGAATAACAAAATTAGTTTCATCATTTGCAATGGAGCCAAAAATTCACTATTTTTTGGCTTGTGAATACGATGGAATAAAGCAAAATGGCTCACTAAACTGTCTGTGCTTCTTTGCTATGAAGCAGCGGTCAACTCATGCAATTTCCGATGTGATTTTCACCATGGGTCATCCTGAAACAGTCTCTCTGTGCTTTAGGGGTAAGACTGCGTACATCCGACCCCCCTTACCCCACCGTAGGTGGAAGCCTTTGCGGCATTGGGGTAATGATGATGATGATGATAGTATTTTATGAATATTTGATAACTGAAGCTTGGAAATGCTTCAGTAAGTGAATTCTTTGAATTATGTAAGTGAAAGGTTGGAGCCAACTCGGTGAACAGTCGTAGTAAATGTAGAAAGAATTAGAGAATTAGAGGCGTGATTGCTTATTGTTGAAAAGAATACTTGGGCTTGTATCATTTTAAAAAGATCATAGATAAGCTGATTTTAATTTTTAACGTTTAAGAAACATTTAATATGCCTGGAACGTGTATCAGGTGTATCGGATACACTGTATCCTACAACCTTTCAAAAAAATTGTGTATTTTAGCAAATGCTTGGAAACGATACACTTATGTCAGTTATGTGAGTATAATGCCCATATTATATTCTGGGGAAAATTATATGTGAATTATGTCACCAAGCCCATAATGCTTGTGAAGGCTGCTTTCCATAATTATGAGTTTTTTTATTCGTGTGCTGTGTGCAGATACCAAGGTCTAAGGGTAACACCAAGGTCTAGGAATTGAGGTGTGATGGAACAGAATTCACAATTCCATGATCATGAATTGGAGAATGAAGAGTATGTACTGATGGATCTCGATGATGTCTTTGACCAAATATCACTTCCCACAAATGCCCCCTATGTCCTATCGGTATTGTATACCTTTTTCGCTATTACCAAATTATACTACCTGATGTTGTAATTACTAATGCTTATATGTGCATTGGTTTTTCTAGATTTGTGACATACTAATAAATAATGTAGGGTCTTGATACTGTGAACCCCATTCTGAACATTGACGGAAAAATCAAGCTGGTGAGCATTGGGATTTTGACACTTAGATCAATTGTATTCTTTAATTAATAATTTTGTTTTACTGTTTATCTTTCTGGATAGTAGTTTTGAAGAAAAATTTAAAACATTTAGAATTCCGTGCTGCTATTGACCATATATTTATTGAGCTCTCTATATTATATATGATTGCATCGTGATATTTTTTTGTAAAATCCCCCCCCCCCACGCACACACTATGTCCCGCAATCTCTTGATCACAAAAAAGAAAAAACATGCTCTTTAGAACTATCAGTATAAGGTTTCATTCTCTTCATTAGTGTGAAAGTATATTAAAATATACTTTAGAATATGCTTAAGAATATATTAGGAATATACCATATATAGTATTATTGTATAGCATCTTGTATAGGAATATTCTATCTTTGTAATCTATATTTATAGGGCCTTACCCTTCAATGAAAGATACAGAAAATCCTTTCCTCTCCAATATTATTTCTTAGTTTATGTGTTATATTTCAACATGGTATCAGAGCCATCTCAATTTAGTTTTTCTTTTCAGATTTCAGTTCAGTTATTCATATCTCAGTAGTTTTCAGACTGGGTTCCTTTCTCCAAGAGCTGATTTCAGTCCAGAACCTATTCCCAGAACCTCTTCCCAGAACCTCTTCCCAGAACTTTTCCCCAGAAATTTTCTCCAGAACCTCTAGGCACCATTCTGTCTTCTAGAAAATCACTCAGTACAGATCCTCTACAAACCAGAACCTCTATTCAGAACCTTTGAGAACCTTGGTATAGCTCAAATATCTCACCTCTATTCTGGTGCGCCCGCCATCTATGCCCAGGTGTTCAAAGTCCGCAGTTCCAAATCAACGGCCGTGAGTCATACTCGCCTCCGGAGGTGCTCACCGCCGCCGCACGCGCCGCCGCACGCGCCGACGCGTAGCTATAGTTGCTGGCCGGAGATTTGATCGGAATTTTTCCTGAGACTCGCCTGAGATCCTCTACCACCAGTACCACCAGGTAGACCTTACTTCTCTCTCATTCCTTCTTCAGAAAGGGGCGGAATATTTGTGGGACGAAGTTTTGCGTTGGTGTTGGTCGCTGGCATCGACTTGTTCGCTGGGTGGCATCGACTGAAGTTTCGTTGTCGCTGGATCTGGGGCGGATTATTCACATCATCAGCACATCTGTTAAGGGTCGCTGGGTTGCTGGCATCGACTGAATTGTTCCTGCCTCGATAGCTTTGTTGCGTAAAAGTCAACGCAAACTCAGATTTGATTTTATTTTATTTTTTTTTTTAAAAAAAAAAAAAAGAAAAAAGAAAAAAAAATACAAAAAAAAAAAAAGAACAAAAAGAAAAAAAAATGTTTCGTACAGGTCAATTTGACAGAGGAGTAATTTGCAATTACTGCAAGAAGTCCGGACACTTGCTCAAAGATTGTAGAAAGTTGGCATTCAAAAATCAAGGAAATTTGATTGCTCATGTTGCTTCCGCTACCACCTCATCTGATGGATCAGTTGCTATTTCTTCGGATGAATATGTCAAATTTATTTGCTACCAAGAATCTCTAAAGCATTCATCCGTCCCTATCTCGGTAGCCGCGAATTCAGGTATTTCAAACACATGTCTTGTTTCGTCATCCTCGAAATGGGTCATTGACTCAGGTGCCACAGATCATATGACCGGTAATCCTAGTCTATTTTCGTCATTCCATTCATATTTACCTACTTCTAGTGTCACTTTAGCTGATGGATCTACCTCACCCGTTCTTGGATCTGGTACTGTTGTTCCAACTTCTACATTACCATTATCGCCTGTTTTGAGTCTTCCTAATTTTGCATTTAATCTGCTTTCCATCAGTAAAATCACGCGTACTCTTAATTGTTCTGTAACATTTTTTCCTGGATATTGTGTGTTTCAGGATCTGTTAACGAAGCAGACTATTGGTAAAGGACATGAGTCAGCTGGTCTTTATATTTTGGATACATCAATCACAAAAGGTATCTCTTGTCTTGGGGTTGGGACTTTGTTAGATGCTCATTACCGATTAGGACATCCATCTCTCCCATTAATGAAGCAAATAAATCCCAAATTTAATAAGATGACCTCTTTACAATGTGAGTCATGTCAATTTGCGAGACACCATCGTACTAGCTTGAGCCCTCGAGTTAATAAACGAGCAAATGCTCCATTTGACCTTGTTCACTCTGATGTTTGGGGTGTTTGCCCGGTTGTGTCTAAAGCTGGTTTTAAATATTTTGTTACCTTTGTTGATGACTATTCTCGTATGACATGGTTGTATTTCATGAAACGTCGATCTGAGTTGTTCACTCATTTTTCTTCCTTTTATGCTGAAATTAAAACTCAGTTTAACGTTCCTGTTCGGGTGTTAAGAGGAGACAATGCCCAAGAATATCTATCTGCTACATTTAAGTCATTTATGCTTCAACATGGCATTATTCATCAAACTTCATGCGTTGACACACCTCCTCAAAATGGAGTTGCAGAACGAAAGAACCGACATCTGTTAGAAACTGCAAGGGCTCTTCTATTCCAAATGAATGTGCCTAAACAGTTTTGGGCAGATGCCGTGTCTACTGCATGTTTTTTGATAAATCGAATGCCATCTTCTGTTTTGAATGGTAAAGCTCCTTATCATTGTCTATTTCCAAACAAAGAGCTTTTTCCTATCCCACCTAAAATATTTTGTTGCACTTGTTTTGTTAGAGATGTTAATCCTCATCTTACAAAGTTAGATCCCAAATCATTAAAATGTATTTTCTTGGGATATTCTCGAGTCCAAAAGGGGTATAGATGTTTTTGTCCGAGTACTGGTCGGTATCTTGTTTCTATTGATGCATCATTTCATGAAAATACACCTTTTTCATCATCTAAGGCAGATATTCATGAGAGCAATGATGATATACTCATTTACACGATGACTATTCCCGAGTCCACACTTTCGACAAATATTCCACAAGTTACTGTTCCTGACCCTAGGCCTCCCGTACATTTGGTATACACCCGTCGACACAAAGCACCTGATCACCCTCCACCGGCGATACTTGTGATTACTTATCCTGATACTAGTTCGACTCCGATCTCATGTCCTGAACCAGTACCTGCATCCTCAGATCTTGTCTCCACATCAGATCTTGACCTCCCAATCGCACTACGTAAAGGTACACGATCTTGTACTCATCCTATTTCTTCATTTGTGTCGTACAATCAGTTATCTCCTGCTTCATGTTCTTTTATTGCTTCCATTGATTCTATTTCTGTTCCCAAATCTGTAAAAGAAGCTTTGTCTCATCCTGAATGGCGTCATGCCATGGTAGAGGAAATGAATGCTTTAGATCTTAATGGTACTTGGGATTTGGTTGACTTGCCTACAGGGAAGAAATCTATTGGATGTAAGTGGGTCTTTGCTATTAAGGTTAACCCAGACGGATCTGTTGCTCGGTTGAAAGCCCGATTAGTTGCGAAGGGTTATGCTCAAACCTATGGTGTTGATTATTCTGACACTTTTTCTCCTGTTGCTAAATTAACATCTGTCAGGTTACTTATTTCACTCGCTGCAACTCATGATTGGCACTTACATCAGTTGGACATTAAAAATGCATTTTTGCATGGTGACCTTAAGGAAGAAGTCTATATTGAGCAACCTCCGGGATTTGTTGCTCAGGGGGAGTATGGTAAAGTTTGTCGACTTCGCAAATCTCTTTATGGTCTGAAACAGAGTCCTCGTGCATGGTTTGGGAAATTCAGTCAATCAATTGAACAATTTGGAATGATAAAAGGCAAATCAGATCACTCTGTCTTTTACAAACAAACAGAATCAGGTGTCACGTTGCTTGTGGTGTATGTTGATGATATTGTGATTACAGGGAGTGATAATGCAGGTATTTTGGCCCTTAAGAATTTTCTGCATAGTCAATTCCAGACGAAGGATCTTGGCTCTTTGAAATACTTTCTGGGAATTGAGGTAACACGAAGTAAGAAAGGCATATTTCTATCTCAACGTAAATATGTACTTGACTTACTAGCTGAGACAGGTAAATTAGGGGCAAAACCAAGTACAACACCGATGGTTCCCAACGTGCAACTCACTCAAGAAGGCACACCGTTTGAAGACCCAGAAAGATATAGAAGACTGGTTGGAAAGCTTAATTATCTCGCAGTCACTCGTCCAGATATTGCCTATTCTGTGAGTGTAGTGAGTCAATACATGTCATCTCCAACCATTGATCATTGGGCTGCAGTAGAACACATATTATGTTACTTAAAGGGTGCACCAGGACGAGGTATTGTTTATCAAAACCATGATCACATGAGAATAGAATGTTTTGCAGATGCTGATTGGGCCGGTTCTAAAGATGATCGAAGATCTACATCTGGTTATTGTATCTTTGTTGGTGGTAATCTTGTATCTTGGAAGAGTAAGAAGCAGAATGTGGTTTCTCGTTCGAGTGCCGAATCAGAATATCGAGCTATGGCACAATCTGCATGTGAGATCATATGGATAATCCATTTATTGACCGAGCTCGGACTGAAGACATCAATGCCTGCTAAATTGTGGTGTGATAACCAAGCTGCTATACACATAGCAAACAATCCTGTATTTCATGAGAGAACAAAACATATTGAGGTCGATTGTCATTTTATTCGAGAGAAGATACAAAAAGGATTGATCTCTACAGGATATGTGAAGACTGGGGAACAACTTGGAGATCTGTTAACTAAAGCACTAAATGGAATTCGAGTTGGTTATTTATGTAACAAGTTGGGCATGATAAATATCTATGCTCCAACTTGAGGGGGAGTGTGAAAGTATATTAAAATATACTTTAGAATATGCTTTAGAATATATTAGGAATATACCATATATAGTATTATTGTATAGCATCTTGTATAGGAATATTCTATCTTTGTAATCTATATTTATAGGGCCTTACCCTTCAATGAAAGATACAGAAAATCCTTTCCTCTCCAATATTATTTCTTAGTTTATGTGTTATATTTCAACAATTAGATAGTATGTAGTTGAAATATAATTCTCTAATCTTACATTCCCTTTTATTTGGTGTTACTTTTCACAGGTAGGAGAATATGTGGAGACTATTGGGACTTGCCTTGTTTTTAGTGGAAGCGGTGAGACATTAACTTTGTAACTTTTTCCACATCTTGGTGATAATAACCCTTGATATCCCAATGGTAATGTCGATAGTGGTGTAAAGCTTTATAGCCACACATCAATCCTACATGTAACAACTAACAATCATACACATGAATCCATTTTTACGTAAATATGCATATGCAGCCATGCAGGCTCTCCCCTAAGTTTAGTTATAGATATTAAAGTATAATATGCACCAGATGAAAATAATTTCCTGATACGCCACTCTAAAACAAAGTGCCAGTATTCAAGAGTTGTGATAAAGCTCTCTTTGCAGATACCTCTCCAGTGGTTCATGAAGAGACCGGGCCATCTGAAGCTAACCTTTTGTCAAGGAAATGCACAGGAGATCCTAAGCAAACAACAAGTAAGCAAGTAAAGCCAATTACCCAGTTTCATAAGATTCTCAAGTTCAGATTATTGCTGGAAGGTGAAAATGAAGAAATGGTTAAAGCAGCAAGCACATAACTGTATATAATATACTCCGTACGTGTTTAATGCAGCCTCCATCTGCGGTTCATATATTGTTGAGTTCCTCTAAATTAAGCTTGTATATATACAGCATTCAAGATTTGCTACTTTGGCTTGATGTAATGTGTTTTTCAAAATGCAGACTTCATAATTTACTCGGGGTATTGAAGTGCGCAAAACTATCTTTTGTACACCACTCCTCCCCTACTTGTTTGACAACCAGACTGTTTGGTCCTACCCAAACTGGGTGTCCAGACATCACATTCCTGAACTGACTATGGTCTTGGTTCAAGCTTTTAGAGGATCCCGGTTTCGATGAGGCCCATGCCTTGAGTGTTCTAACCCAAGAGGTAATACAAACTGGTCCTCGGGCACACTTTAGCCCCTGACTATTGTGTATTTGTGCTACTTGAGCATGGAGGACATATCTATCATTGGGATTGCAGAGTGAGTCTTAATTTTATGGGAAGATATATTTATGAATCATCCCTGTAATTTTAGCAGTAGCCTTCACTAGATTAAATCTCAAGACATAGAGTAGCTCACAATAGAATGATGTAGGCATGGGCCGGTTCCGGGCCGGGCCGGTCCAAACCGGGCTTTTATTTTTTGGGGGCGGGACCGGCCTGGTTTGCAACCGCCAACCGGGTCCGGGCCGGTCTCGGGCCGTTTTTTTTTTTTTTTTGCTTTTCTAATTAACACCTGACCCCCCCTCACCCCCCACCCGCCAAACCCTCCCAAAACACCTAGCCCAACCCGGGAAAAACAAAAAAATGAAAAAAAAAAAGGGCCCAAACGGGCCGGTTCCAAAGGAAGGGTGGTCCCGGATCCGGACTGCTCTAACACACCGGGCTGGTCCTAGGCCCGGTTCCCAGGCCGGTTTACCGTGCCAGTCCGGGCCCGCACAGTGGCGGGTCGGGTCGGTTCCCAGGCCAGGCTGACTGGAACCGGTCCATGCCTAGAATGATAACAGGTAGACTAGGCTTGTTTTTTACGAAGAAGTTGATAATTTTTTAGAGGAAAAAATAATTAAAATACCTCAAACTTTGAAGGGGTGTGAGATAAACACCCCAAACTTTCATATGTGATTTAAATACCCCAAACTTTATATAAAAAGTTATTTTAACACCATGTTCATGTATCCTTTGTTTCAAAAATTTAAATTTATGATGTTAATTGCATAATTTAAATTAGCGAATTCAAAATATTGCAATTATATAGAGTGGGGGTAGTAATATTTATTTTACAATGGAAGTTTAGAATGTTAATTGTATCTTCATGAATGCTAAAATATTTTAAATTATGAAATAAACATAAAAAAGTAACATTTTTGAAAAAGATATATATGACCAAGGTACTAAAATAACTTTTAATATAAAGTTTGGGGTATTTAAATTACATGTGCAAGTTTGGGGTGTTTACCTCACACCCCTTCAAAGTTTGGGGTATTTAAATTATTTTCCCCTTTTTAGAAAGATTAAACTTTGTAAAGAAAATAAGAAATGAAATTTGGCAATGTAAGGTTGGCCGAGTAAAGAGCGAAGAACTGAAGGCCTGAAGGGCATGTGTGGAAAGTAGTTGTTCAACCTTGAAAATTTGGAAGTACGAATGTACGATTACATTAAATGTTGGACGCGGATAAAATATACACCCTCCGTCCCAAAATTATCTTCATAGTTACTATTCACATGATCAATTCAAATTAATCTTAATCTTTTACTTTGTATATCAAATTTTTATCAAACGTAAATTTTCTTTGTTAGGCTTTGTAGTAGTTTTAATGTAGTTTCTGAATATGTAAATTTTATTTACTAAAAATAATCTGACTGTGAACAGGGATCGAGTTGTTTTATCGTCAGTCAAGCATCGTAAATCGAACTATGAAGATAAATATGGGACGGAGGTAGTAATAATATACGGAGTATATAAGTATTTACAATTTTTCACATCAAAGTTAATTAATGTTTGTGCACAAAGATGGATTTTTAAATCATAGATAGTGACATCTCTGTAAAAAACATGCAAACCGATTTCTTTGCATAAGTATTTTTGTATGTGTTCAGTGTTATAACTCTATAAACATGTACTGGGTTTTTGAAATTTATTTTCTTCACCCAAATAAACTCTAAATATTTATTATAACACATACTCCTCCGTCCGGGAAACAAGTTCTCACTTTCTTTATTTGGATGTCCCAAAATAAACTTCTCATTTCCTTATTTGGCAAATTATTTACATCAAAACAGTGTCAAACAGTTCAAAACAGTGTCGAAACAATGTCAAAACAGTAAAATTTATCTCTCAGTAACTTTATTTCCTTAAAATGTAAGAAAGTCAACTCGGAAACTTGTTTCCGGGACGGAGGGAGTATATTTTAGAAACTACACATACAATAAATTTGTGACTTTTTATCTACAATTTGATTTCCAACGACTCTCCATCTATGATCTTGGGAGATGATGATAAGATGGAAGATGACAAAAATGATGGGATGAATATTATGAAAGGTGATGAAGAGGATTTGTATGGTGAACTGGTGAAGGGAAGAAAGGAAAGATACAAGGAAATGAGAGAGTGGCCGAGGAAAATGGAAATTTTTTGAAGTTTATAAAGTTGTATAAGTTCTGTATACAAATAATTTCTCTATGACTGAATAATTTTTTCAACAACCCATTTTTTATGTCTTAAAAATTTTGTCAATTTTTCTTTTAATCAATCAACTAGTGGTTTATATTATTTCTTTTTTCTATGTACAAATTTCAATTGTATTATTTTGAGATTGAAAGACTCTTCCAAATATTGATCCTCTGTCTTGGAATGAGTGATATTAATCAATAGATGACAACTTTTAATTTAATATAAACATTTCGCACACATTTATATGTAATGGTCTGTGCACATAGATAATGTTGTACGTATTGCCTATGCACAAAGGCAATTAGGGATGTACATATATCTGTGTGCACAGACAATTACTTAAAAATGTGTGCGAAATGTGTACATATTTCTTGTGCAAATACTCCCTCTGTCCCACAAATTTCTACACACTTATCATTTTGGGATATCATTTTCATTTACCCCAGTGCCGCAAAGGCTCCCACCTAAGGTGCGGTAAGGGTGGGTCGGATGTACGCAGTCTTGCCCCTGTACTAAAGCACAGAAAGACTGTTTCCGGATGACCCATGGTGAAAATTGCATCCAAAATTGCATGGACTGACTGCTGCTTCATAACAAAGAAGCGCATACAGTTTAGTGAGCCATTTTGCTTTATTCCATCATATTCTCAAGCCCAAAAATAATGCATCTTTGGCTCCATTGCAAATGATGGAAACCACTTATCATTTTGGGATGCCCCAAATTTTTTTTCTGATTTTCCTTTTTGGAAAGTTTTGTGTGGAAAACATTCATTTACCATTTTCTTACTCAATTACAATCATATATTTTCACTTATTCTTACTTTTTTAATAAGCGTGCCAAGTCAAAATGAGATTTATATTTTGGGATGGAGGGAGTATAATGTTTCTTTTTTTTTTTTACCTCAGGGGGGTCTGGGGGAGGGGAGCTGGGGGGAAGCCTGGAGTAATCAGGTCTGAAACTCACTCCATTAAGTTTCAAACCCTTGTGTGCCTAGCGGGTTTCGAACTCGAGACCTCCCACTAGGCACGGTAACCTCACAACCAGCTGGGCTGGAATGCTTGGTTGAATATAATGTTTCTTTTAATTTACAAAAATGAAAGAAAATCTTACCTCCCAGGTCACTCGTCATTTAATCTCTTAACATTTGTGCAGCTCCAACATAATTATTGATCACATGATTAAGCTAGTAATAATGGCATAACCCTAGGTTAATATTATTTTCTTTCCGTTGTCTCATCATTTCTTTTCGATCTGTCCCACTAATATTGTCCTACATAAAATTTGATAAATTTTATTTGATTCTAAATCAACTTTATTCTTATTTATCAATTCAATTCTAATCAATTATACTCATTTTTCTTAATAATAAGGGGCCGTTTGTTATGATGTAAAGTAAACACTTTGCGTGTAAACTGTGGGGATGTAAACATTTTACACTGTTATGTAAGGTCATCTGTTTTTTATGACCTGCAAACGGAATTATCTTCAGCGTGTTTTGCATGTCGTGTGTTACATGTTGATGGTCGTGATGGTGTTTTTGACTATCAGATTTCTGACGACAACAGGAATTTGGAGTTTAAAGTTCATTTTGAAATGTCTGATATGAAGGCGGAGTGCAGTTGTAAATTCTTCCAGCGGATTGGTTTGGTTTGTCGTCACATCTTTCTTGTCTTAAAGGACGCGAAAGTTGAACAGATTCCAGAACATTTTGTTAATACATGTTGGTGTAAGAAGGGTTTAATCAAACCGTTGTCCTAAATCTCTGATTATGTATTCAGCAAAGCGTCACGCTAGAGCAGAATAAGATGTGTGTGAACTCTTTATGGTCTGATATATATGCATGCATGACTCTTGTTGAAAATAACCCAAGTTACTTGCAGCAGTTTTCAGGCATTATTAAAGATCAAAAAGAGACTCTTCTTTCCCTTTCGAGTGGGGTTGCACAGTCATCAACAAAGCAGTCGGTATTTGAGTCCTTTTATGGTTCCGCTGCGCCTTCTGTCGTCACAGTTCATCCTCCAAAACAAGCCAGAAATAAAGGTTCAGGAGGTAGAATCAAGTCTCCCAAAGAGGTTTCTATCCAAGAATCTAAACGTCCTAAGAGACTTTGTTGTTCGTGCAATGAGATATGCCATCATGATAGCCGGAATTGTCCGTTGAATAAATAGCTAGGATTGTTTAAGATCGTGGTTTTTATTGATTAATGGATTATCTTTGTTTTTTTACCCCGGTGGATGTAAACTGTTGACAAATTATTTTTCATGATTTTTTTTATAAAGTATCCACCTCGTTAATATCTTTACTGCTTTATACACAATATTTGTATGCATATTTCTATTCACTTATGTGCACCTTGTATTTCTACACTATTTAATTAGAAGTTAATTGATAAAGGTTATTTGATTTAAGTGCAACATATCTCTAGAACTTCTGCATTATTGATTATTTAGAAATTGTATGCCTCACACATGCATGTTTTGAAGTTTTGATCTTTGGTGCAGTCTTCAGTTTTTTTACGTGCATATTTCAGTACGAAGGTGTGCACCCTGAACTTCTACATTACCCACCACTAAATGTATTACATTTAACCTGTTTCTCAATATGTTTCTCTTTTCTAACAATTTCTTAATCAAAAAATAGGCCACGCATTTTTTTGAAAAATCACACGTAACTTTTACACAAATTTAATGACAGAATGTGACATATTGTCAAGTGGTTTTTTAAAAAAAATTAATGACATTTGTTTAGTAAGTAATTATTACCTAAAATGCACACGAAGATATAGTCAAGTGCATCCTGGATTTGCAAAGCTTCATTATTAATTACTTTGTATTCTCTACATGCACAATAGCTTATCCCATGCAAAATTAATTACTATTTGGAACTATAGGATGTTACGCAATTTAAATTATATTAACTACAAGCATAAATCAAGTTAAAATAAACTGATGTAAACCAAAAACATATATTAAAACCAACTGTATTCAATGTCAACTTTCACACACAAATATTAAGCATAATTCTGTTTTTAATTAAAAAAAATGCGAATAAGTCATTGTAAACTGTAATTTTAAAACATAGTCAAACTAATGTCAAGTTCAAATTTCACTGAATTGATTAATTGGGCGCTGCTCCCTTCTTCTGCTCTGCCACCTTTTCTTTCTCTTCTTTAGCTTTCTTGACAAAATCTTTGCCTTCGCCAAGTTTGACTGCATGTACTCATTCTTCTCATTCAGGGGAATTGCATAAATGTACTTCATGCATAACATCCCTACCAGTTTGGTGTCCGTTTCCTTCAGCCCAATATTCCATCCTTGCAAGCCTTGACCTTGATATGTCTCCATATGTCGCATTGTGAACATGCCATAGTCGCAAATGTTCTTCGTGTGCCTCCACTCCATTCCTAGCCTCTTCGGTGTTGCCTTCCTGACTTTATCAGATTTGGTCATCATATTCCTTGAATCCATGTACTTCACAAACATATTTATCTGCACAAAATTTTGCTTAGCCTCGTAATTTTCATTTATCCCTTACAAAATTATAACGACAATGCACCTAACCACAAGTACTAGTTACATAATATTATTTCGTACCACGTTTTGAGGCATTTCCCCGTATTTATCAAATTTGTCTACGCTAGCCGCTGAACTGTCAATGATTTCCACACGCTTCAGCTTATTATTAAGACAAAGTACATAGTAGTGATGCACTTGCACGATTGGGAAGAAAAACTGCACCAAAATAACCATTTTTTAGAATTTACAATTTAATAGCAATGCATTATATTTCATTAAAACAGCATACCAAATCAACTTTTGAAAGTGAAGTGTGCTCTTTTATTGCCTCCAACCCCAACCAATGGCTTCCACAAAAAGGGAGTAAACATTGTCTTCATTCAATCCCAGGTCTGCCTGTGTGTCAAGCTACAACACAATTCCACGGTAGTTAAACCAAACTGTATTTTTTATACATTGTGTTCAAAATACAATTTAAAAATAAATAAATAAACAAAACATTTATTTTTTTGTGCATGTGTACTTACGCAAGGCAAGACTTTAGCAAATAATCTACTGGTAGACTCACTGCTTCAGGCTTTCTCTTTACAATTAAGAATGAATGCCCAAGCATTGATTACACTTTCCTCGATGTGTCGACCATCCTTGATGCTCATCAGTTGGCCGCGGGTAAGCTGTAATTGGTTAAGGCCTTTGAAAATAACCTCACTCTTTTAGAGGTTGCGTGCAATTAGTAATGTGCATTCACTTATATTTTCCCACATGTTTAAAGTTAAAATGAAATTTGCATTTCACATTGCACTTACGCATCTCCATTTGACGTATCCAAGCACCCATGGCGCGTTCATCTGACGTTAATGCATCACTTGGATCAACAACTCTTCTCGCGTAGGGTGACTTCATGGTTGCTGCAGCCGTTTGTTTTCTTCTTATCTGGCCCAATTCTTTTGTCTCTTCAATGTCCTGTTGGCATCAATGTTTTAAAAAAATGACATAAATACTATTGTATACTTTTCAAACAACAAGGGAATACACCTCCCCTTTCATCTGCACTCAATACACGTGTATGTGATTTTTTTAGTTTTTGTAATTACCTTTCTGATTTCCGGCACATGATTTACATTTGAGCTTGATTGACCACCAACTGTTACCATTTCCCTATCTAAAGGCAGTTGCACACTTGCATCGGCTTTTCCGTTCCCTTTTTCATTTATACTGTTCTTCTCGAACCCCAGAAGAGCATAATTGCTTACTTCATTTGGTGGATCGTCTTGTGTGAGACCTATACTAAAGTTTGGCATATCTTCCCTCCTTTGAAGAACCTTTGTTATCTTTATACCGTCCACCTCAGCTTCAGCTAATATTTCAAGGTTGACTGGGGTTGACCAAAATACCTCCATCTCCCTGTCCATCTGTGTAGGTGTAACAAAATCAGGAGAATTCTTCTTCTGTAAAACTGCCATGAGCATATTCGCCGCTTCCCCCAACTCTTTGAACTCTTCACTGCCACGAATTACATCGGGAGATTCATCTAACATATTCATGATGTCAGTCGTTCTCTTAATAAATGTGCTGGTCTAATTAGCAAAGCATTGCAGAACGTCCTGTCATTTGCAAAAAAAAAAATGATAAGTTAGGCATTTGCTAACTTAGATACAACAATCTCGAAACAAAGTAGACAAATGGTTCTTTAATAACAAGCGTATTAAAGAATAAAAATATTCTGCACATTAACTCCTTCATAAGCATGCAAGATATAAAAATAAGTGCACCAGACATGTAGTCTTCTACAAGCACATAAATGTCGTATTTTACTCTACCTATTCTTCACCCGGTGTTGTCGAGGGCTATCCCACATCTTGGGTTCTCTCTTCAGCAGTGACACTTTTTCCCGTCCCTCGGTTGATTGTCATCTTCTCATCTAGATACCCTAAATCAAATCCTCCAGCCTCTATTTCTTCAGATTCTCTCTCCCTCAATAACGGTGTGCTCCATCCCATTATAAAGGGAACCTTTCTAGGCACGCTTCTTCTATATACTTCCATCCTATCCACATACAACACCTACAAAGTATAATGATTAATGAAGAATTAGTATAACTTTATCAACGGTATTCATATGCATATTCGATTGGCATCGTAATATTAACTGCTTTGCACATTGTTTTCCATCACACAAAAATAACTTCTTATTGCCTTAAAACCTCCATTTCACCTAACTGTAAATGCACTCTCAGAAACTCTAATTCATAACTAAATCACTAATACATCAGTCTTATGAACAAATCTTAAATTCATGCACCACACATTTTATAAAACTACATATTCAACTACCTTAATATGCATAATCATATAATGTTTTCACACTGAACATTGATTTACAGCTTTACGTTAACCATTTTGCATATTAGTTTTACATCACACAAATTTCACTTAATATGGCATTAAAATGCAATTTCACCTAACTATAGAGGCACTTTCAGTAACTAGAATTCATCAATAAATCATTAATTCATCTGTCTTATGAAGAAATCTAAAATTAATACACCTCACCTTCTATAAAACTGCATATTCAACTACGGTAATATGCATAAACACATGATTTTTTGCACACTGAACATTGATTTGCTGCTTTACGTTAACTATATTGCATATTAGTTTTCCATCACACAAATTTCACTTAATATGGACCTAAACTGCAATTTCACCTAACTGTAAATGCACTTTCAGTAACTCGAATTCATCAATACCTCACTAATTCATCAGTCTTATGAACAATTCCTAAATAACATGCACCACATAAAGTGCACATTGAACTACTTAAATATCAAAATACGATGTACTCACCATCAAGAAAAGGAGCGGACCGGTGTATGCCTTTTCCTTTCCTTTAGCCCATTCCCTTTTCTTCTCAATTAGAGCCTTTATCACGTATTCGCACCAATTTAAATCTTTAATTCCTTTTGTGTCCTTCAAATTGTTTATGAAGGAGCAGTTTATGTATTCGTTCCTTGTATTGTCTATCAAGGTCGATATAACGAGAATTATGAAGTTCCGCACAAACCAATCTCCACCTTCCTCACATCTTAGTATTTCATGTGTCACCTCTATTGGCAAAACCTTATCCTTTCCTCCGAAAGAAGATCTCCACTCATCCAACATTTCACTTTTATCTCCTTTCCCTTTCTTTAACACTGGTGTGTCACCACGTGGAAATCCCAGAACCAGCTCCACATCTTCTTCTGTGATGTGAATTTTCCTTCCTTTACCTAACTTCAGTTAACAACTAATTGGGTCGAAATTGTCCACAATCCAATAACCAATATTAGACCGCAACTCTTAGATTCCTAGGTCTAAAAAAGCCCCAAACCCAACTTCACGCACTTGTTCTCGCTATTTGTTAGTCAATTTCGCAATAGCGTTCATCACCACATTCAGTGATGATCTAGTGTAGAGGCTATGGTACTGGACCTTCAAGTCATTCACCACAACCCTCTTCTCGTTCTTGTTTGGTCTGCCCACACATTCGTTTTCCTTTCTCACCACTTGTTTTGGTAAATTCATGAAGTCTTCATCATTTTCAGCTTCTTCACGTTCATTCAAGTCTGCCTCACTGCCCTCTTCTGTATCAGGCACCACCACATCATTAACGTTTTCATTACACACCTTTGTCTCCTTATTCATCCTTCCACTCCTCCTTCTTTCACCACTTTCTGGACCACTGCTTCTCTTTCCACGAGCAGCCTTAGATCCTGCACATTGAAAAGAACATTTCATTGAAAATTGCACTAAATGAATTAGCACACTATTTGAATACTCTATTTGCACCCCTTAATCATATTCACTACAC